CTTTTTATCCTTAGTGGTTAAAACTTTGGCTATACTTTAAAGGCTAGGGTATTACCTGTATCATTCTACTAGAATTAAGAAACACCATAGAATCTAGGCAATATAGGGAAACATGAAGCAGGACAGGTTTAATCCTACTATGGTAGAAGAGTGAGTTAAATAATCATAGAATCAAAGTTAAGCATGGAATTCTGTTGAAATAAGGCAGGTTCAAGGATAGAATGTGGCAGTTTTTTCCAACCTGGCTGCACATTAGAATCACTTAGGTATTTTTGAAATACCCATTACTCAGGCTAACTAAGTCAAAAAGCCTTGGGAGTTTGGACCCAGGCATCTTGTATTTTTAAAATGTTCTCACATAAAGCCAGTGTGCATCTCCATCAGTCGTTCTTGCCACAGCAATGCTTCAAAGAAACCTCTACAGTTATAGAATTTAATAACTTAAAGCAAGACATTTATTCCCACATTTAATGATCTGTTAGAGAACTATGATATCGTTAAAGCTCTCCCTCAGTCTGTGAGTTAGTTGGGTTTGTCACTTGAAGACTGGGCTCATTTCTGTACCGTACATATTTGGAACTCAGTCCAAAGGGACATTTTTTTCTCATGGCATATATCTGGAGTACAAAAAGTCACCCAGATCGCAAAAATAACATTTAACGCTTTTGCTTACATCGAACAACATTAATATTTCTTTGGCCAAATAGCCTCACCTCCTTAATCAACAGGGCTAATCTATGACATCACAGTGGGAAGGTGAAGGGAAATAATATCTGCCAAATGAATAATAATCATAAGTACTGTAGTTGCCAAGATTGAGAACCCCTGCAACAGAGGATTGAGTGAGGGTCTTTGTGAAACTAGAGCCTTAATGTAGAGAGCTAGAAAGATGGGACACAGTGGTCAGAGATTGGAGTGAATGAGGATTAATTCAGAGTAGTTAACTCTAGGTCATAGATAAAAATTCATGGTGTGGTGATAGATGGCTGAGTTTGGTATAGTACTGATTATCTAGATAGCAGGTCAAGGATTGGAGAAGATGTTGAATGAGTCATCTGCCCAGATAATTAAATTGTCCAGAATGCTGATGAAATGAAGAATTCAAGGAAGAAAGCAAACACATTGAAGCTTTTTAAAGTGATGCCACTAAAGGATGTGGAAGAGGAGAGCTGTGGCAGTGTTCTCAGTGCTGTGCCTCTGCTTGACAGATGCAGCAGGTGAATTGACAGGAGACAAAGCAGCAGGTGTTTTCAGTCTTCACATACCTCATCTTTATCACAAATATTTCTAAATACTCATTCCTTCCTCCTCTTCTAAAGAAGTCTTACTGTACTGTGTTACTGTTACTGGCGTTTGTCCGTGTGGAGACAGAAAAATGAATAAAAACCTTGGAGTAGTAGTTTATGACAGAAGAGTGAAGATCTTTACAGGAGAAATTGGAGGAAAAAATTATCCAGAAATGGCATCAAGAACTACGTCAGTGACACCATGAGGTGAAAGATGTTGGAATAAATAACAACATCTATTGTTGAGAGGGCTTTAGGAGAAGCCCTCAGTGAAATCTCATTTGGAGTAAGATGTAGAAGCATGAAGACATTGAGGATGTAGGGAGAGTGTATTCTTAAGGTAGAGGGGTGTTGCTGTGGATTCATTAATGGGAGGAGGAGCGTGGTGGGGGCAAGAGGCACGGAGTCACCTGACAATTGTCAGGTTGACAATCATCTGCCAGCAGACAGACTACTCCAGATGTTACAAACCTTAGAAATAGACTATCCAAAACATGCTTTTCCTGCTAATCAACCTATACCCATGGCACCGTGTGCGTTTATGGATGCCAACAAGTCACTGTTTGGAATAGTGATCAAATCCTCAACAGAAACGAATCCACAGCAACAGAGGGGTGTTTCAAAAAAAAAAAAAAAAAAAGAGCAGTTTGATCATGACAATCAAACAGAGCCAGAGAGCAGTGAGAATGTAAGAGAGAAGGTGACTTACACTGGGTTTAGCTGCTATAAGCTTTAAAAATAATATTAGATTGTTTGTGGGGGTTTTGAACATGTGCCAGTCATTATTCTTAGCATGTAACATGTTTTGTCTTATCTAATCACCACAACAAACCCAAGAGGCAGTGGGTATTAGTCCTAGTTTACGGTTCAGAAACTGAGGTGTACTGTTATTGAGCTGTTGTTTGAATACTAGCAGTCTGGCTCTTTACACAAGCCCTTATAATAACCAAATAATTGGGTACAGGAGTAGGGGGTAGTTATCAGCAGTTTGGTCTTTAAGCACTGGTTGGCTCACTGGATTACCATTTTAGAAAGACTATGTTAAAATAGTATTTTCAAAATATGGTCCCAGAGGTTGGTGTTGTGGTATAGTGGGTAAAAGCCATCATCTGCTGTGTTGGCATCTCATGTGGGCTCTGGTTTGAGACCCAGTTGCTCCACTTCCCATCCAGCTTTCTGCTAACGTGCGTGGGAAAGCATCAGAACATGGTTTCCAGGCCATTGCAGCCATTTGGGGAGTGAACCGGCGGATGGAAGATTCCACCCCCCACCCCTCCTGTAACTCTTGCAAATGAATAAAAAAAATCTTCCAAAATGTGGTCCCAAACCAGCACCATTAACATCATCTGGGAATATGTTAGAAATTGCAAATCTTTGGGCCACACCACAGACACACTAAATCAGAAATTCTGAAAGTGGGGACTGGTGATCTGTTTTTTGTTTTTTATTTTTTAAATTTATTTATTTATTTCAAGGTTGGAGTTATAGGTAGAGGGACAGACAGAATCTTCCATCTGCTGGTTACTCCCCAAATGGCTGCAATATCTAGGGCTGGGCCAGGCTGAAGCCAGGAGCCAGGAGCTTCTTCCAGGTCTCCCATGTGGGTATAGGGGCTCAGGCACTTGGGTCTTCTTCCATTGCTTTCCTAGGCTTATTAGCAGGGGCTGGATTGGAAGTGGAGCAGCCAAGTCTCAAACTGGCACCCATATGGGATGCAGGTGCTACAGACAGCAGCTTAACCCACTGCACCACAGCACCATCCCCTGTTGGTTTTTTTAACAAGACCAGCAGGCAATTCTGGTACATGCTGAAGTGTGAGAAGCACCTCTGTAAAAAAATAGGTTGCAACAGGGTACCAGTTAAGAGGCTGTTGCAGTAAACCGAAAAGACATGACAAGTGAACTTGGAAGGAAATGAGGTGATATGAAGTTAAAACCAGGTTGCAGAGTTGTGTGAGAAAGAGAACTGACAGGATTCTGTGAAGATTGAGAATGGGGGATAATGGGCGGGAGAAGTCAGCCTGATGGCTAACTTTTGTTGATGTAGATGAGTGTGCTGTTCACTGAGGTAGCGAGGGAGAAATGGAGGTAATAAGTTTCATATTTGGATTTAGGAGACATCCAGATGTTCACATTGCTTCTACGAGGAGCATTTAGATGAGGCATAGGGAATTGACATTTGAAGACCAAATGGGAACGGAATAGGTAGCAGAACTTCCCAGATTCCTGTCATGGTCTACAAGTTAGGCAGGTAGAATAATGAGTTGCTTCAGAATGAAAACCTACTCATTATGTTTTGATGCCGTGTGAGAAGTTGGTGGGAAAGGTTAGGACATAGCATTGGCACAAACTGAGATATGATTTTGAAGTCATCTTAGTTTTTATTTAGAGAAATCCGTTTTTACAACATTGTTTAGAAAGTATTTCTCAGTAAGAACACAAAGTTGATGTAAGCATAAAATTCGTTATCTGAGTTGATTTATTTTGTTTGAACATGTAAGATTTCATTTTTTCTTCTTTACTGTTTGTGTGTGTGTGTGTGTGTGTGTGTGTGTGTGTGTGGTGTTTGTAGAGTAAAATGTAGACAGAAGGATGCTTCAAATAGTTCATGGAAATAGAATTAAAATTTATTTTCGTGCAAAACATATTTTGAAGTTCATTAATTCTTTTTCATAATATATACTTTCCATGAGCTTTTTGAAGATCCCAGGCTTCATTTGTGCATAGGTTATGTTCATTTCTTACTTTTTTTTTTTTTTTAAGTTTATTTGAAAGGCAGAGTAACAGAGAGGGAGACAGACATAAAGAGATCTTGTATCCCCTGATCCACTCCCCCAAAAGGCTGCAACAGATAGGGCTAGGCCAGATCAAAAACAAGAGCCAGGAATTCTGTCCCAGTCTCCCTTCTGGGGGGTAGGGGCCCAAATACTTGAACCATCTTCTGATGCTTTCCCAAGCACATTAAGTGGAAGCTGAATTGGAAGCCAAGAAGCCAGGACTCGAACCCAATGTGCAACACTCCAATATGGATGCTGGCGTCAGTCAGTGACTTAACAACTGTGCCACAATGCTGGCTTCTCTTATATTCTTGCTGTAAATCTTTGCTACTCCATTCACATTTCCTCTTCTGTCACTACCTGTCCTTTTCCGAGGCTTTGATCTTTTATTAACTATGAAGTGATATCAGAAACTAGGCTAACTGAGCACGTGTCCACTTGAAAGTAATTTTTTTTATAACTTACATAGAAAAACTCTCATATTCTCCAAAATATATACCTTTATGTAATTAGAAAGGAAAGCAAATGTCAATCCAGGACAAGTTCTAAAAAATTAAATGATTTTTAAAATGAACATAAAAACAACAGAATTAGGGGCAGATGTTTGGCACAGCAATTAAGACACCACTTGGTACCCACCCCCACACCCCATATCAGAGTGCCTGCATTTGAGTCTGGGCTCTACTTACAGTTCTACCTTCCTGATTATGTGTACCATGGGAGGCAACAGATGATGGCTCAACTACTTGGGTCCTTACCACCCACATGAGAGACTTGGATTGAGTTCTGGGCTCCTGGGTTTGGCTTAGCCAGCCTTGGCATTTGGGAAGTAAACCAGTGGATGGAAGATCAATCTCTCTCTTCCCCTTTCAGATTAAAAAAATAAGAAAGTTATTTTAGGAAAAAATACAAGCTAACTCTTTATTTTTCTTCCATAGCCTTTGTTTAGTACCAGTTACCCTTTTACTTTCCAACTGTTCTCAGGCTGATGTAGATGTAATAGTTGATCTTCGGCATAAAACAACAAGGTAAAGATTTCTTTCAGTGAAAAGTTATTTTGTGGCTTTAGCTTTAAAGTAATTTTAGAGCATTTTAATATTGTTTTATTCTATAAATAACTTTGTAATATGGAAAGATAATGTTTACTCCATCATGTACTGATTTTGTGTGTGGTGTTATGGAAGTGTTACAGAGATATTAAATATTAAAATTTTCATTTCCAATTATAAAATAATACTTAAAAAATTCTAGTGCCATATCTCCATATCTAGTACTCCTAGAGCCAGATGTTTTTTGACATTTAGAAATTTTGGATTTTTAGAAAAATAGTTTGAAGCATATACTGAATATTACTGTCATATATCTTAAACAGGATTTGGAACAGTTCTTTGAAATCCAGATATTTTACAAGTTTATGTATATCTTAGTTAGTGGGTACTGGGTTGGTTTCCATTTTTCAGTCTTACAGTTTCAGTGTTATAAGCACTCTGTACACACATTTATTTTTATATATGAATAACCAAGGGATTAAAAGCTCAGATATGAAATCAGGTTTCATCATTTACTAGATGTGGGAATTAAATATTAACTCACTATTAGCATTATGCTTAAAAATAATTATTATTAATACATGTTGGCTGTTATAATAATAGAACATTGTTATTATTAATAAGTATCTGGCTTCATTAAATAATTCCTAGAAGTAGAATTGTTGAATGGAAGGAATATATTTATGTGACTCTGGGGAAAAAATAATATAGAGGAAGCTCTGTAACTTATTATTTTCCTCCTCTCTTAGTCCAGAAGCATTGGAAATCCATGGATCATTCACATGGCTTGGACAAACACAGTATAAACTTCAGCTTAAAGGCCAGGAGATCCACAGTTTGCAGCTGAAAGCATGCTTTGTTCATACAGGTGTTTATAATCTTGGAACTCCTAGGATATTTGCCAAATTGTCGGACCAAGTTACAGTGTTTGAAACAAGTCAGCAGAACTCCATGCCTGCCCTGATCATCATCAATAATGTGTGACAGCTTGCAAGTTTGTACTGAAATCCACAAGAATCAGTTTAATTTTGCTGAATGGGTTTTACAGCAGTATTTGAAATACCTAACATTATGGAGGTTGGGGTCTGATCACTGCAGAATTCTTTGACTTGCCATTTTGTTGATGATGCAAAGCACATTGGACTGGGAATACTTACGTTCTTTTTTTGTTTGTTTTTGTTTTCATATTTCTTTAAACCCTGGTAATAATTTACATGCTCATAATACAGAATTTCAACATACCCATGTACCTCATTAAGTCCCGTCTTAAAAAGCAGTGTCTAAGTCTACTGTTACAACTTATCAATGGTATACAAATATTAGGAGATGATTTTGAGGAAGGAAAGGCCTTGTTGGCAGTACTCCTGTTAAGCCATTAGTTTATAAATTCCAGCTTTACTGTGAAATTCTATAGAGTGTTAAATACAAATTTTTCCATGTTCACAAAATTCTCTAAAATCTGTTTTGAACTTTGGTTATAGAGTCTTCAAGTTTCAGTATCTGATTGTCCCTATGGCTTATACATAACTTTGTAAAAAGAAAAAAATTTTTTCTGATGCTTTGAATATAGTTTTGAAAGGAGTTTGACTTTTTTCCCCCTCATTCATCTCAGTATAGAGTGCGCTATTTCACAATATGAGATTTTTGTCATTAAAATTATCATATTCTTATTATATAACTTTAACAATTGAGTTGATCTGTTTAAATGATAAATCTACTCAAGTTAATTAAAAATAAGCTTTTCAAAATGTATTATATTTATAACAAATGTACTGTAAATAGAATAAAGACATGCTATTCACTGTATAGATTTATAAGATGCCTTGCCTTTTTTAAAACCTGAATTTCTGAGAACTTAATATATTCTCTATTTAAAATAAGTGGCAACCATATTATTATAGCAGATACCAGCCCAATTTGCTGAGAAAGCTTTATTATCAGAACTGAAAGTATAGTCTTTGTTCTTTTTATTTTTAAAATACTATATTTATTTGAGAGGCAGAGAGAGACAGACAAAGAGCTCTCATTCACTGGTTCATTCTTCAGATGCCTCCAACTGCTAGGCCAGGCAGAGCTGAAGCTGGTTGGGAATTCAGTCACATTTTGTACGTGAATGGCAGGAGCTCAAATTACTTGAGGCATCACTACTCCCTATCAGAATCTGCATTAGCAGGAAGCTGGAGTTGGAAGCTAGAGGTGGATTATCAAACCCAGCTACTTCACAGTGGGACATGAGCACCTTAATCAGCTGCACAACTCCTCCAAGTTTTTGGTCTTAAAAGCTCTTTATGGCCTTGTTTTACATAAGGAAACAAATTTTGTCTTTAAATGAACCATATCTGATGCTTGGTTACAAACTCAGATAATCCATTTTTATCCTACTCAAAAAGAAGATCAAAGCTTATTTAATCTGTTTTAAATAACTACACTGCAGATCTGATGCTGGTTATAGCAGATTGGGTAATGTGGTCCTCCTGCTAAAGAAAAGAAAGAAGTCTGAACAAAATATAAAAAAATCTTCTTCCTAAAAACAAAGTGTTGCCAACATTATCTGTCCTTAGTGGACCAACGTCTAGAAGAAATTCCAGAGAGGGGAGGCCAGCATTATTTGGGACTTCTTTACCTTCAAAGTGTTGACCTAGGAAGAAGCAGCTAAAAGGCAAGCCTTAAAATTTGACAAGCTTTGAAGAAAAGGAAAGTTGGTTAAAATCATATCAGTTGAAGCAAGGAGAAAAAAATGATAGAAAATAAGCAAAAAGCTAAAAGAACTGGTTTAGTTAAGGAAATCTTATCTAATATTTGAGTCCTAAAAAGAGGAAGAGAATAAGATAGTAGTCGTACAGGCTACTTCAAAAAGTGGGTGGGAAAATGAAATTTAAAAAAATGTTTGGTCCAAAGAAATTTTGACGTGAATGCATAAGTTTTTCATGATACATATTTTCAGTGAACTTTTTGAAGACCCCTTTTATTTAAAGAGAATCTCTGAGAATTTTTTTTTTTTTTTTTAAAGATTTCTTTATTTGAAAGAGTTACACAGAGAGAGGACAGGCAGAGAGAGAGAGAGAGAGAGGTCTTCCATCCTATGGTTCACTCCCCAGATGGCCATGGCCGCAACGGACAGAACTGTGCCGATCCAAATCCAGGAGCCGGGAGCTTCTTCCAGGTCTCCCACGTGGGTGCAGGGGCCCAAGGACTTGGGCCATCTTCTACTGCTTTCCCAGGCCTTAGCAGAGAGCTGGACAGGAAGCGGAGCAGCCAGGTCTCAAACCAGCGCCCATATGGGATGCCAGTGCTTTTTAGGCCAGGGCATTAACCCACTGCGTCACCATGCCAGCCCCTCTGAGAATTTTCTAAAATAGACATCAAGTTACAAGTTCAAAAAGTTCAGTAAATCCCAAGCAACATAAGTAAAAAGAAACTTATATCCAGATGAATCGTCAGGTAGAAACAGCCTTGAATCCAAAACGATAAACTTAGGTAGCAATACTTAAACAGAAAGCTGACTTCTTAGGAGAAACAATGGAAGCCTGGAGACAATGGGATATCTTAAGAGGATTTCAAAGAAAAGTAATGGCTAAGCCAGAGCACTAAACAAGAATTCTCTTCAATAATGGGAGTAAAGTAAAGATACTTTCAAATGAATAAAACCAGAGTTCACTTCCAGATGGCCTAGGGTAATGGCAACTTCTTAGTCTTTCCATTCATCCTCCAAATAAGTATACAAATCAATAAGCAAATGAAACAACATCTAACACAAGGTTTGATCATAACTAGAAAGAATATACTAACGTCAAATGGAAATGGAAAATTTAACACTAACTTGTAACAGGCTTTCTACACTCTTAGTGTAAGCTTTTCCCCAATAGAGATTAGGAAGGCAGGAATCTCCCAAAATGATGTGTCGAAAAGAGACAAAGGCACTTGAAAGGTAGGCCTGAGCAGTGTGGGAACAGCAAGGACAGTGTCTATTCATCTCCAGCTAACAGAAGTGCCTTTTAACAGGAGTTACCTTATAGATTGGCTGTGAAGGTGAATATAGAATTTTTGGACCTTATACAGCCCAAGTAGTGTTCCAGCCTAAGTCGCTTACTCAACACACAGCATGGCAATCGCTGACATTGGGGTGGTGGACAAAAGTATTTATTACAAAACACAGAACAAGGAGCCAGAAAGTTATCACTAATTTCTGAAATCCTTGGAGGGTTCCAAGTTAGGGATCTTACTGATTGAAGCTGGGGTTTAGAAGTGTCCATTTCCTGTGCAGGTCTCCATTTGGTTCTCAGTGCTTGTGACCCTGCTTTCATTGGTCATTGGGACCATGTTCTTTTGAGAATTTCGTTGATGGCCAAATGGGCTGCAGACAGTCTGGGGGATATGTGCAGGTGGTAGTTACTTTTTGCTTAAGGCCTGGGGTTTCTGGGAAACACCCTCAAGACAAGACTGAACATCAAGGTGTTATCTGTAAAGTAAATAAATAGCCCCATAAATCTGCTATCCTGTGGGAGCTGGATGGACCTATTGCATCATTCTCTCAATTTAGTGAACTAATTTTAGTGATAGGTTGATTTGCAATCATCAAAGCAGGACAAAGAGACTTTATGCCAAGGTAAGGAAACAGACTACCACAGGAGGCTAGGGCCTGATAGTACCTAGTATCTGCATCAAAGGCACTGGGTAGGGGCTCGGTTTTACCTACCAACCTGAAATTCCTTGATTACAGATTCATGCCTATTAAAATGCAAATACCTGTAGGTATCCTAATGCATTCTGATCCACCTTTAAAATATGTGTCAAGGAGCTGTAAGACAAATAAGGCACAGAAACTAGCACCTACAACAGTGATGGGAGTGCTGGTAGGAGAAGTAGGAATGGGGAATAGGGAGCTAAAAGAGAAAGTGATGGGTTGCTAAAGAAAAATGGTCCAGGGCCCGCACTATGGTGCAGCATGTAGAGCCACCGCCTGTAGTGCCGTCATCCCATGTGAACACTAAGAGGTCCTGGTTGCTCAACTTCCGATCTAGCTCCCTGCTAATGCACCTGGGAAAGCAGTGGGAGATGGCCTAAGTCCTTGGGCCTCTGCATTCACTTGGGAGACCCAGAAGAAGCTCCTGCCTTTGGCCTAGTCCAGCCCCAGCTATTGCAACCATCTGGGGGAGGGAACCAGCAGTTGGAAGATTCTTTCCTCTGTTTCAAATAAAATCTTTAAAAAAAAGAAAAATGGTCCATTTCATGGCTTGGCTTAAGCTTAACTCTGTTTATGTTCCACTGCTTGTTTCCAGAATCATGGAGCTATAGATAGCCATCTCTAAAGACTTTCATGTTAGGTTTCTGCCCCATTCATTTCTGTTTTGTTTTTTTAAGCTATAATAGCTTCAAATTGTTCTCAGTTCCTTACCTACTTGAATTAATTATGTTGGCATATAAATCCAATTAATTTAATACCTAGTAACAAGAAGGGATACATTTGAGAATTGGGTGTTCTTGGCAAAATAAAAAATGAGTTTTCAGGAAACCAATGTGCAGCGTGTCAAGCCACCACCTGAGACACCAGCATCCTATATTGGAAGGTGGTTCAAGTCTCAGCTACTCTTACTTCCTATGCAGCTTCCCTACTAATGAGACTGGGCACGATAAGGAGATGAAGGCTCAAGTACGTGGGTCCCAGCTGCCCATGTGAGTGACCAGGATGGAGTGCCTGGCACCTGGATTCTACCTGGCCCTGCCCTGAGAGTTGCAGCCATTGAAGAGTGAACCAACAGATGGAAAAATCTTTTTTAAAAACATATTTTTGGGGCCGGTGCTGTGATACAACACCAGCATCCCATATGGGTGCCAGTTCAATTCCCAGCTGCTCCACTTCTGATCCAGCTTCCTTCTAATGTGCTTGGGAAAGCAGCAGAAGATGGCCCACATGCTGCCACATGGGAAACCCGGATGAAGCTCCTGGCTTTGGCTTGGCTCAGCCTGGCTGTTGTGGCCATCTGGGGAGTGAACCAGCGGATTGAAAAGATCTCTTTCTCTGTGACTCTCCCTTTTTGTAACTCTGCCTTTCAAATAAAATCAGTCTTTAAAAAACAATGAGTTTTATTTATGCATGTGAATTGTGTTAATTCAACAACGTTCCACCAGGATATATTTTAAAAGTCTGAACTCCTTTAAAAATACTAGTATTCGTTGATTTAAAAATCTAGTTTTGCCAGCACCGTGGCTCACTAGGCTAATCCTCCACCAATGACGCCGGCACACCGGGTTCTAGTCCTGGTCGGGGCGCCGGATTCTGTCCCGGTTGCCCCTCTTCCAGGCCAGCTCTCTGCTGTGGCCAGGGAGTGCAGTGGAGGATGGCCCAAGTGCTTGGGCCCTGCACCCCATGGGAGACCAGGAGAAGTACCTGGCTCCTGCCATTGGATCAGCGCGGTGCGCCGGCCGCAGCGCGCCGGCTGTGGCAGCCATTGGAGGGTGAACCAACGGCAAAAAGGAAGACCTTTCTCTCTGTCTCTGTCTCTCTCTCTCTCACTGTCTACTCTGCCTGTCAAAAAAAAAAAAAAAAATCTAGTTTTAAAACAACTTTTTAACTAGAGAAGGAGTATCTGGCTTCCAAAAACAGTTACCTGAGATTTTAACTCAGTCCTGCTACAGCTAGAGGAAGAAAGCTGAGCGTTTCAAAGGAAGAACTTTTTTTTTTTTTTTTTTTAAGATTTATTTATTTGAGAGGTAGTTATAGAGAGGGAGAGACAGAGAAAGGTCTTCTATCCACTGGTTCACTCCCCAAATGACCACAATGGCTGGAACTGGACCAATCTGAAGCCAGGAACTTCTGGGTTTCCCACACAGGTACAGAGGCGCAAGCACTTAGGCCATCTTCCACTGCCTTCCCAGGCCATAGCAGAGAGCTGGATTGGAAGAGGAGCAGCCAGGACTCACATATGGGATGCCAGCACCACAGGCGGAGGCTTAGCTCACTGAGCCACAGCACAGGCCCCAGGAAGATCCCTTGTGATTGGAGGAGGAGGCCGGTGGGAGGGGCTGGGGGCAAGCTCAGCAAATCTGGAACAGATAGGGCCTCTGTGCCCTTGCTGTCTGCCTGGGTTTGCCCCATTCTGAATCCCGGCAACCCTGGGGCAGTGTTGGCGGAGCTGCGCCAGAAGGCAGATCAAAAAAAACTGATTTTCCAGGTTCAAGAAAACTGAAGATTGCACCCATACGAGTACAGGTTGTCTTGAGAGTGTTCCAGTTAGCATCTGTCTCTGCAACTAGTGTTAGTGCTTCTGGGTGTTAACATGGGGCTCTGGCTTCTCAGCTCCTCCATCCTGCATCTAGAGGTGTGTGGACGAGGCAGAGAGGAAAAGGGCACATCTGGGACACTGATTTCCTTCTTGAAAATTTAGGACCATGGATTTATTTATTTTAAATATGATTTATTTGAAAGGCAGAGAGAGAGAGAGAGAGAGATCTTCCATCCACAGATGGCTGCAGTGGTGGGGCCTGGGCCAAATCGAAATCAGGAGCCAGGAGCTTCTTCCAGGTCTCCCACATGAGTGCAGGGGCCCAAGTACCTGGGCTATCTTCCACTGTTTTCCCAGGCTCATTAGCAGGGAGCAGGACTGGAAGTGGAGTAGCGAGACTCAACTGGTGCCCATATGGGATGCCAGCACTGCTGGTGGCTTAACGCACTGTGCCACAGCACTAGCCCCTGGACCGTAGATTTATTAGAACACACGCACACACACACACACAGCCTGGGAAAGAAAATCTGAGAATGAAAGGGAGGCGCATACTCAGAAGGTGCAGACATCCCATTGGTAAGTTCTCAGGACCTCTGGGAGCCAATTGTTAAACATAGGTACTCAGGCCAGTGTTGTGGCACAGTGGGTTAAGCCACTGCTTGTGGTGCCTGCTTCTAACCCAGCTTCCTGCTGATGCGCCTGAGAAAGCAGCAGATGATGACCCAAGTATTTGGGTCCCTGCTCAGATGAAGTTCCAGGCTTCTAACTTCAGCCTGGCCCAGCTCTGGCTGTTGTGGCCATTTGGTGAGTGAACCAATGGATGGAAGATCTCTCTCTTCTCTCTTTCTGGGTAACTCTGCCTTTCAAATAAATAAATAAATAATAAAAACTATGGAAAACACAGGCACTAATAAAAAACTTAGAACTGAACTATTAAAGATAATAAGCATTCAAAATTCACCACTTCCTAAATGTTTTACTACACCTATATTCCTGAGGGCATGTATGTCTGTTGTATGTGTGTGGTGGAAATACCACAAAGCCGTGCCACTATGCTTCTCTTCCCTGCTCCACATTTGGTGATACCCTGCCGGTCGCTTGAGGTTGGCGAGGGTCGGGATATTCCCATCCAAGAAATAGGCTAATACTACACCCTAGGACTTGATCTACTGATTCTTGCTTTCTACTCTGGACCTAAGAAATGCTAGAGAAAATGTTAGTAATGTATATTAAAACGGTTACCATATCTGTAGAGCTGTTAACACTGTGATAGTTGAAAAAATACTCTACAAGTGACTGAAACCATTAGCCAGTTTAGCACAGAAGTTGGTCAGGTCACTGATGAACTACTCAAGGACTGGCATGTATCCTCACAATTTCCTCTTCCTCTTAAAAAAAATTAACATTCACACTGGGATTATTCTCATTTGTCAATTGCAACATAGGCTGGCCATGTAAAAGTTCAGCAAAAAATAAAGAACTGAGAATCAATAGGCTGTATGGAATTTGCAACAAAGGTGTTGCATATTTTATTAGTTGCATATTGTATGCTGCATAGACTTTCTTGGTTCAAAAGTGTTCCTGGAGAATAATTTGATACAAACTCCCGTTAGCGTACCTCTGGGTATATATTGTGAAAAATTGCCCTGACATTCAGTTTGCAGTTCATCAGGAGCTAAGGTATCCTGTGAAATCTTCCAGTTTTTGGAATCCTGTAGTGGAGGCATCCTAAAAATGTGTGAGCGCAATCATTGGAGTGTTTACTAACAATTCCAGAGGCTCTATCCCCTTAACCCAATTTTGTAGATTTGGTTTGACTGTAAAACCTTATTTTTGCTGTTGATTTCTTGGTTTCATGTACTGTTTTTAAATGTTGAGATTTTCATGAACCCTGATTCTGAAAACAGGACCTGCCTGCCACTGGGTAACATTGACCCGGGAAGCCTGAGAAACACTGTGTGTAGCTGCAGATTCTTGCAAGACTTCTTTCTTCCTACCAGCTTGTCAGATCCATCGTGGAAAGGTTCTTCTTTGAAAGTCCTAGGTAGGTCAGGCCAGTGTTTTCAACACATACTTCTAAGATGCAGCAATTTGCTCAAAGATTAATTTTCTACTTCAAGGTTACTGAAATAAAAATTGAGTTTACAATAGCTCAGATACACAGTTAAGTATTTAATTAGGCTGTGGTTGTTTGGTCTCAACCTGTCTGCCAGTTTCATTTCTTGGCTATTGAGCATAGATAACTATGAACTCTTACCAGTTTGTGGGGTGGCAGTTGGTCCCTTTTGCCATTAACAGTTATTAGGTTCACGTGGGCAGGTATATGTAGTCTCTACCAGGTATAAGTGGATAAAGACTGTAGATAGGAGACCACATAACTTTTCATCCAAAAAGAGATTTTCAAAGTGAGAGACGACACTACTGACAATTATATGTCCAACAGGATAAACAGGCCTTCTTCCGGGCCCAGTGGGCTGGCTGTTCACGTTAGTCACAGCTCTCCTCCCTGCTGGGCTCTACCTACTGCGGTGTGATGATGAATTTGGCCACACCTACAAACATTAACATCGAGTGATGCTGCCAGTGTTTGGGGGGAACCTGGACAAGGTCAGAGAATCAATGAAGGGAAGGGAGAGAGGACACCATGTTATGTGCTGCATGGCAACATTTTGGTGAACAAAGGGACTGCATAGATATGCTGGTTCCATCAGAATCTAATGGAGCTGAAAATATCCCATCGCCTGGTGATGCAGGCATTGTCATGTAGCCCAGTGTATGATGAGTCTGCGAGGATGCCGGGTAAACATTCTGCACTGCGAGCTGTATAGCGGTAGAGCACATACAGTTATGTACAGTGCATAATGCATACTAACAAACAACTGTTGGGGATGGCACCATGGTGCAGCAGGTAAAGCCACTGCCTGTAGCCCCAGCATCCCATATGGGTGCCCGTCCAGCTTCCTGCTAGTGCACATGGGAAAGCAGTAGAGGACAAATGCTTGGTCCCCTACATGCATGTGGGAAACCCAAAAGAAGCTCCTGGCTCCTGGCTTCATCCTGGTCCAGTTCTGGCTGTTGTGGCCATTTTGAGAGTGAACCTGCGGATGGAGGATCTCTCTCTCTCTGTAACTCTGCCTTTCAAATAAATAAAATAAATATTAAAAAAAAAAAACGGTGCCATGTGGCGCAGCAGGTTAACACCCTGGCCTGAAGCACCAGCATCCCATATGGGCGCCAGTTTGAGACCCAGCTGCTCCACTTCTGATCCAGCTCTCTGCTATGGCATGGGAAGCAGTAAAAGATGGCCCAAGTGTTTGGGCCCCTGCACCCACGTGGGAAACCTGGAAGAAGCTCCTGGCTCCTGACTTTGGATCGGCGCAGCTCCGGCTGTTGTGGCCAACTGGGGAGTGAACCATTGGATGGAAGATCTCTCTCTCTCTCTCTCTGCCTCTCCTCTCTCTATATAACTCTGACTTTCAAATAAATAAATAAATCTTAAAAAAAAAAAAAAAAAAAAACAGGTGGCGCTGTGGCTCAATAGGCTAATCCTCTGCCTGCGGCACCTATACCCTGGGTTCTAGTCCCGGTCGGGGCGCCGGATTCTGTCCCAGTTGCCCCTCTTCCAGGCCAGCTCTCTGCTGTGGCCAGGGAGTGCAGTGGAGGATGGCCCAAGTGCTTGGGCCCTGCACCCGCATGGGAGACCAGGAGAAGCACCTGGCTCCTGGCTCCTGCCATCGGATCAGCGCGGTGCACCGGCCACAGCACGCAGGCCGCAGCGGCCATTGGGGGATGAACCAACGGAAAAGGGAAGACCTTTCTCTCTGTCTCTCTCTCACTGTCCACTCTGCCTGTCAA